TTTTTGTGTCCTATCTAAAAAATATTTGCTGAACCCAATGTCACTACCATTTTCTTCTGTATTCTTATAGAAGTTTTACAGTTAAACTCATATGTTGAGGTCTATGATCTATTTTGGGTTAATTTTTGTGTATGTTATGAGGTAAGGGTCAATGCTCACATTTCTGCATTTTGCTATTCAATTGTTCAAGCACTACTTCTGAAAAGATTATTTCCCCATGAAGTTGCCTTGGCATCTCTGTCAGAAAAAAAAAAAATCAACCAATCATACATGTATGGATCTATTTCTAGATTCTCTTCCATTCCACTGATCTATAGGACTCTCTTTACTGCATATGACATTATCTTGATTATGGTAGCATTACAGTAAGTCTTAAAATCAGAGAGGTAAGTCCCCCAACTTGTTCTTTTTCAAAATTATTCTTAGATGAGTCTAGGTCTTTTGCATGTCCATATGAGTTTTAGAATCGGTTTATCAATTTCTACAAAGTTTGCTGAGATTTTGACTAGGATTGCAATAAATCTATGGAACATTTTGGGAAGAACTGGGGTCTTAACAATATTGAATCTTCCCATTCATGAACACAGTACCCCCTCCATTAACTTAGATCTTTATTTCAGCAATATTTTGTCATTTTCAGTGAACAAGTTTTGCATATCTTTTACCAAATTTAACCAATTTCAGATATTTTTGATGCTCTTATAAATGGTATTTTTTCTATTTCAGTCCACTAATAGTATATAGAAATACAATTGACTTTTGTATATTGGTTTAGATCCTGTGACCTAGCTAAACTCACTTGTTAGATCTAGTAGCCCTTTTGTAGATGTCTTAGAATTTTCTACAATCATACAGAAGTAAAATATGGCCAATCTGTGATGCTTATGCAGAACTGTTTAATAACACCTCTTAAAAGAGGTTTTTAAGAATTATTTGAAAGATTCATTCACCATAGCGTGACATCAATGAGTGGAGCTTATTTACTCAGTAAGGCTGTCTGCAAATAAAGACAGTTTTACTTCTTCCTTTGTAATCTTATTTTTAAATTGCCTAATGCACTGAATGGGACCTCCAACACACTGTTGAACAGAAGTGACAAGAACAGATATCCTTGCCACTTCTGATCTTAGGGGACTATCACTCATTCTTTCACCATTAAGATGTTCCCTATAGGCTTTTCACAGATGTCCATCATCAGGCTGAATAAGTTCCATTCTATTACTAATTTGTTGAGAGTTTTTATCATAACTGGATATTTAATTTTGTCAGATACTTTTTCTGTATTTATTAATATGATCGTACCAATCTCCTCTTTCACTTTGTTAATATGAAGAATTGCACTGATTGATTTCTAAATGTTTAATCAATCTTGCAGTCCTGGTTATAAACCCCATTTGGTGATAATGTACTACCCATTTGCTATATTGTTGGATTTGATTTGCTAAAAATTTAAGCAAATTTATAAATTTAATTTTTATATCTATGTTCACAAGGGGCATTGATCTGTAGTTTTATTTTCTTGTAGGTTTTCATCAGGTTTTGGTATAAGGGTCATGGAATGAGTTGGGATGTTTCCTTCTCTATTTTCTGAAATAGGTTGTATAGAGTTGGCACTATTTCTTTCTTAAATATATGACAGAATTCACCAGTAAATCCATCTTGAGACCTTGAATCTGCATTGTGGAAGGTTTTTAATGACAAATTTAAATACCTTAATAAACATAAAACTATTCAAGTTATTTGAGTAAGTATAGGTAGTTTGTATCTTTCAAGAAATTTATTTGATCTAAGTTGTGGAATTTGACATAAAATTATTCATAATATTCTCTTACTTTTTTTAATGTCTGTAGGATCTATAATGATGTTCTCTCTTTCCTATATTGGTAATTTCGTCTTTTCTTTTTTCTTGATCATCCTGGCTTGAGGTTCATTAATGTCATTGGTTTTGTTTTTCCCCTCAAAGAACCAGCTTTTTGTTTCATTGATTTTTCTCTATTGTTTCTCTTTTCTACTTCACTGACTTCTTTCTTTACTATTTCTTTCTTTGCTTACTTTTAGTTCCACTTGCTCTTCCTTTTAGTTTCAAATGGAAACTTGGGTCTTTGAGATCTTTTTTAATTGAACAGTTTAACACTGTGAATTACTGTTTAAGAACTTCTTTAGCTGTATCCCACCCACCTCCTTGGGTTTTTATGTAGATTTAATGAAATATGTATAGTCAGGAATGAAATATTTAACTGCCTAGTCCATGTCAGGCATTATGGTTGGTATTAGGAATACACTGCATTAAAATAAATCTAATCCCTTCTCTCATCAAGATTAGAAGGTAATATTGAAAAAATTCATACAAAATGAATGTTATCTTCTTGATACTTAGAAAGTACATTAAGCCAGAATGCATAACTGTTTCATTCTAATGATAAATGTATTTTCTGTTTTTGTCTGTCTACTCATGAACTAGCAAAAATTAAGTCACTAGATTTTTTTTTTTTTAAGTTCAGCGATTTGTAATTCCAATTGCACCACGTGAATCTATTGTGGAGTAAGATCAAATATTCTATTTGTAAATGTCTGAATAAACTACACATTTCAATACACTAAAGATAAATAAATATTTCTGTAATTCTAAACTTGAAAACCACCTTTAGATCTACAAAGAATCCTTTAAAAAACAAGCGTTCCATACATTTCTAATACTTTCCTAACAAAATTTTTCTTAAAGTTAACAAAACACTCTACTCATACTATCTATCCTATCCTGTTTCAAATTACCCAAAACTTAAAAAAAAAAAAAATACCCAGAACTTTTTACGAAATACTCTGCCCTGCCCACAGTTGAATATAAATGTGTGGTAAATCATTGGTTTCAAGGTCTTTTAAATGCTGACCTAGCCTACCAAATGTTCCTGTTTTCAAAAACACCACCAGTGTGTTACTTAAACATCTCAGTATAATTAATTCAGATAATTATAGATTGAGATATTTATAATATATTTAAATCTTTGTTCATTCAGTGGAACCATAAGCAGCTCTGCACACCTCCACCATGTCAGGTAACCTGGATCATCTTCTTCCAGTCCTAATCTCTCGGTGTTTATTTAGGCCACAGGTTCTCAACCTTGATTGCACATTGGAATCACCTTGGAGCCTGAAAGTACTGATACCAGCCAGGGTCCCACAGCCAGAGATGCTTAGAGTTTTTAAAAGTGGGGATTTTCAAAAGCCCCCCATGTGATTCAATGTTGCAGACCAGGGGTAAGAAGGACCAGTCTAGGTTCTCTCCAGGAAGTGATGCTTCTAATAGCCATTGGCCATTCTGTACCACCATACTTCAGAACCTGGTTCCTCTAGAGCTTTCCCAACCTAACTCCTAATCAAACACTAATTCAGTAATTCCATTTGGATTCCTAGGCTCACCTCTATTTCTATTTGGAAATTTACAGAATAAAATGTAAGTCTCTATTTTAGCCATTTCTCTCCAATCCACTTCTAAATTTCATAAAGTTCAGCTAAAGAGAAATTAACTCAATATAATGTGATGATCTCATTAAATAGTCATTATGTTTTCTTCTACTTAAAAGATAGTTCGGGGCGCCTGGGTGGCTCAGATGGTTAAGCGTCTGCCTTCGGCTCAGGTCATGTCCTGGGATCGAGCCCCACATCGGGCTCCTGGCTCAGCGGAGAGCCTGCTTCTCCCTCTCCCTCTGCCTCTCTCCCTGCTCATGCTCTCTCTCTCTCTCTCTCTCAAATGAATAAATAATCTTAAAAAAAAAAAGATAGTTCTACAAGCCATCTGTAATTTTACAGACTATATGGTAAAATTACCAGTTCCTCAAAGTATAAAATATTGAAATGAGTCTTCATTGGTATCCATCTGATTCCACCACTTGTTAATTTCAAACAGGTTTTCAATACTGATTCACATTTTGGACTTAAAACTGACATTCTCTGAACTTAAACCATTACAGTCCTGAGATTCTTCAAATAGCTTACTCTGCTTTGCCAAACCAGACCACTTCATTATAATTACCATTTCATCATGTAAAAGTGGGAAGAACACCTGTATCACAAAGACAGTACCAGGAATAAGAAGCAAAAGCATTTTAGCACTGCGTAGAGTGCTAATAGAAATTTTAATTTGCAGCAGAAATGTTGTCTCATGGGAACTATGTGAAAAGTAGAGGCAAGCAGGAAGTTGCGGGTAACTACTTGTCAATACACAGAAACACCAGCAGGTGAGATGGGGAGAACTGGGGGTGGTCCACAAACTACTGAGGAGTTCTCAAAGCTCCCAGACCAATAGCAGCAGAAACTGCGCATGCAAGCCTCACACCTCTCAGGTTGTGACAGAACTACCTAAGTTACTTACAAACACATATAAACCTCATCTCCTTGGAAAACTGCTAAACAATAAAACTGCCAGCGTGCAGACCCAGGAGCTCAGATCCCTGCCAGTGTAGGCTATGTATCCATGGGATGTAATGGATCTGCATGCTGAAACACGTGTGCACGTCTGAGCAGCTGAACCAACACGTATCCATAAACATTATGAATAATACTTGCGAGAATGTATGGCTTTCTCCTAAGAAGCGCTTTAAGTACTTTACCCAGATCAAGTCACTTTCATATCACATCTTACTCGCCTTTCCTTTGTACTACCCGCATGCGGAGAGTTCGAGCGCCTTATCCAAAGTCTGAGCCTAGGGGGCGGAGGGGGGGGGTCACTGCCTTCGCCCTGACTTCCCGTTAGCCCAAGCTGCCATCCCAAAAGGGGACCGTGTCCGGGCTGGCTTCCTGGAGACACACATGAGCCCTCACACACCCACCGCGGTCGCGTCACCAGCGCCGCGGCCACCTGGGCGAGGACCAAAAACTGAAGGGAATTCCCTCCGCCGCAGAGCTCGACAACGGGATGGGAAAGCGGGACCCAGGCGAGATTTGAAAAGTGGAGGGGGAAAAGAGTCAAGCGGACACAACCGGGAGGGATCACAGCTACTCACCCAGCCCTCGAAAGTGTCCGAGGCGCCGGCCGTGCGCAGCAGCTCCTGGAATTGCAGGGTGCAGTTGGCCACGAAGTGGTCATAGCCCAGGGGCGTCTCGTGGAAGACGGCCAGTTCGAGGTGGCCACCGTCGGTGACGTTGGTGCAGAACTCCTCATTGTACGTGGGTTTGTTGGTCTTCTGTTTGGTGCTGGTCTGGCCCACGCGCACCTGGTCCACGCTCACCGTCAGGTAGGGGTCCAGCAGCTGGTAGCCCTTCTTGAAGAGCGAGTGGCGCAGGGACCAGCGGGTGGGCTGCAGCCCCACAGCCTCGCCAATGCGGACCCTCAAGTAACCATTGAACTTCATGGTGCCCGACGTCATGCCGGCGCCGCTGCCCGGGCCCCGGGGGGCCGCGCTGGCTCGCAGCGGGAGAGCCTGGAGCCCCAGCTCAAGCCAGCCCTCGCGGCAGCCGCAGGAGTGGAAGCAGCTTCTGGGAAAAGCAGCGCCCAAGCCCCCCTCGACTGGTCATTCTGCCTCCTCCGCGGGACCTTCCCCTCCCCTCCTTCCCTCGCCCCCTCCCTCGCGAGGTGGAAAGGAGGGGAGCCCGGAGCCGAGCCCTCCGCGAGCCGGGGTAGCCCGACCGTCCCTCTCCAGCACGCGGCGCTTCCCGGGGGCTCTCAAAGGACTCGCCCCTTCTCCAGAGCCGGGAAGCTCCTCTCCCTGGAGAGCCGGAGCGACCCGTCCGGTTAGCTCCAGCCCCAAGCGTCTCTTGCCCCCGCCTCCTCCTGCTTCTGCTCCTGCCCCCGCCTCCGCGGGCTCACGCTCTCCCCCACTCGGCGAGCTTCAAACCAGGAAGCAGCTACCGCCGCATCCCCGACAGGAGCTTCGCGCCGCCAGGCTCCCAGTTCACAGAAGCCCTGCGCCGGGTCCCGCGCCTTCCGAACCCCGGGGGCGTGGCGCACAGCCGGCGGGGCTGTGGGTCGGTGGCCGGGCGCGCGAAGCCGGGGAACCCCACGCCGGCCCGCTGGCCCCCCTCTGCGCGCGCTCCCTGTCGCGCGGAGTCGACTGTGCTCGGTGGGCTAGAGGCTCCCCCAGGTGCAGGCCAGAAAGGGAAGGGCTCGTGGCCCGGCGTGAGCCAACACCTGAGGCCTGGGAGACAGGTCCCGAGAGTGCTGGGGGGCGGAGGGAGAAGGGGGCGGCAGGAGCTGGGAACCCGCGCTCCAGGAGTCGCCGGCACCCTCCTTACCACCGGAGGACTTGGGCTGGCGAGCCTGCCTGGCGGTCTGGGAGAGGCCCTGGCCTGAGCCGGCGCATGGCGGGGAGGTTCCTTTTCCTAATCTTTACAGGGATGGCCCATCCCGGGTTCAGCTCAGGCCCATCCTGTTTGTGCGCCTTTCCTGCAGAGAGTAATTACACGGTTGTTTTGTTGTTGTTGTTTTTAATAGGGTGGTAGTACTGATGGAAATCCTGTCCTCCTCCTTCCTCGGAGAGGTGTGTCTTGTTGCACAAAGAGCAGGAAAGATCGGTTCTGAAGACAGACATAGCTGAGATGTACTAAGTCTCTCTGCGGGGTGGTTCTGGGTCTACCAAGCCCTGCCTAGCAAGGGCAGATGTTCACACACAAACACTGTCCCTGACACATGTGTGCAGAAGAAATCGCCTCTTCGAGGAACATTCGAGCTTGTTGCTGTGTTTGCAGTCAGAGTGGGCAGCCTTTTGTTCCTTCCCACCCGTGGGTCCAGGAGTTTGGGGGCCCTTGTGTGAACCGTTCCGTCTATTGTGCTTTACCACAAAGCTTGCTCCTTGAGGGCCAGCCACAACCAGTTTGTCTCGCATAAAGCCTAGGCCATTTTTAAGATACTTAATTACATTCCGTTTGGAATGTTCTGGTTTCCCTGAGACCAGGTCGGGTCTTCCTAGCCCCCTCCACCCAAGGCCCTGTTTGGGGCTCTTGAACTGAGTAGCTTCTCAACAATTTCACTCCTGTGAATGGAGGCACACTAGAGAATGAAAACAAATCAGAACAATGGGCCGGTGGGGAAGGGCCTGTCTTAAAAACATCAAAACTTCTTTTTAAGAGAACAAGGCAGGGATGCAGCACATCATCCTAATGACACTTCAGCTTTAGGCAGGGCTTATAAAGCAAGCTCCCAAACATCCAGGGAGCTCCCATCTGGCCTGGTGCTCCAAGGGAAGAGGTCAAGGGGACCAATTGGGTCAACTCTGTCACCCTTTCCTCCAAAGAGCAGGACTCTAGCTTTAAGAACCACTGAAAGATTGGCTGCTGTTGGACTTTGGCACTAAAAAAAGACAGTCCCCAAATGGTGGGCAGCTACACATCCTGGGGTTGGGATGTGAGGGACACTAGGAGCAGGACAGCGGTGGTGCCTGCCCTCCTGGGGCATAAGTCCCACAGCAAGGAAAATCAAGGTATAGATCACACACCTGGGCTGTGTGGTGAAGGAAAAGCTCAGGTGCAGTGGGACAATGGAACCTGGAGGGGGTGGTCAGGGAAGAGTCCCCTGAAGAAGTACACAGCAAAAGGATCCATTTATTCAGGGTTCCCAAGAAAAGGGACAGTCTGACCTGTTTCGGGAACAGGAAAGACTCCATGTGACTGGAGCCCAAAAAAAGGGGAGGGGAAAGTGGCTGAAATTCACCTGAAAAGGTAGGTCAGGGTCCAAGACTGACTAGACTGGTAGGTCATGGGAAAGTCTTTGGACATGGTCTGTGGGCAGTTGGAAGCCCCCGAAAGTTAAGCAGGGACAGGGACAGGATGAGATTTGTCTTTTAAAATCTCTTTCTGGGGGTGCACCTGGCTGGCTCAGTGGGAAGAGTGTGCGACTCTTGATCTCAGGGTCATGAGTTTGACCCCACTTTGGGTGTAGAGATTACTTAAATAAATAAACCAACAAACTTCAAAAAAAAAAAAGTCTCTCTTCGGGGCCATGTGAAGAGTGGATTGGAAGGAGCAAGCATGGGTGTGGGGAGACCAGTCAGCAGGCAGATGCCAAAGTCCAAAGAGAGAAGATGGTGACCAGGACTCAGGTGGTGGTGATGGAGATGGAGATGGATGTGAGAAATGTTTAGGAGGTAGAACACTCAGGCCTTGGTGTTGGACTGAATGGAAGGAATAAGGAAGAGGAAAGTATCAAGGATGACTTGCAGGCATCCAGCTTAAGCAACTGTGTGGACTGGGGAGCCATTGGTGATTAGGAACCCCTAGAGAAGGAGCAGATTTTTGGAGGCAGATGAACAGTTCAATTTGAAATATATGAGTTTTGATATATCTTAATACATCTGAGTTGAAATCTGAGGTGGGCACTCAGCTATGTGCTTGTGAAGCTCAGAGGTGCAGTCTGAGCTAAAGACATAAAGTGAGGGGCCACTGGTATATAGATAGCAACTAAAGCCAGAATAGTGGATGACATTGTGATTGTGGGGAAAAGAGGGGAATAGAGTGTAGCATGAGGAAAGAAGGGGCCTTAGGATAGAGCCCCAGAAACCCCAACATGGATAGGTGGAAGAGAGGTGGGCAAGGGGGTTCCGAAGCAGCAGCAGGGGCGTAAGAGAAAAACCAGGAGGACACAGTACCCAGGTATTATGAAAACCAACCAAAGGGTTTTCAAACAAGAAGTAATTGTTCAGCTACGCCAAATGACACTAAGAGGTTGAGTACACAAGGACTAAAGGCAGCCATGAAGAGATGGCAATGGGCATCCTTAGTAATCTTGGAGCCATTTCTGTAGAGGGATGGGGGCTGAAGCCTGTGTGGAGTAGCTTGAGGTGAAAAATAAGGAAGTGGAGAGAGTAAGTGTAGACACTCGTTCAAGAGGTTGGGCTGGAATGAGGATGAGAGAGCTGAGGAGGAAGATGGGACCACTGGGTGGAGGGCTATTTATTAAGCGGGAGCAACACAAGAGAGGAGAGAAATCATACAGTTTTGAGACTGCAGGTGGGAATGCCATCTGAGACCCAGGGGGAGAAATGGCACTTAGTTTAGGACAAACATCTATGTTTGTGGCTTTCAGCCTGCTGTCCAAAGTTGCCGCTCTACAGTCAGGAGACACGGTGACCAGCAGTCCCAACTGGCCAGATTTCCAGCTTCACGGCCCCAGTGGAAAGAGGATTTTCTTGACCCACCTCCTTAAATCAACCTGGGGAAGCCCCTGAGTGTCCCCAGCCTATGTCACGTGCCCTTTGGTGGCTCCTGGGGGAGACACCAGACAAATAGTACACAGTCCACAGTACAGAGCCCCTGTGGGAAGGGACTGTCTGCTATTACAAACCTCACCTGTGTCACAGCTTCTATCTGGAGCTGGTCCTGACTTTCAAGGAAGGCAGGGGATAAGAAGTTCCCTCTCTATATACATCTCACCCCCCTGACCAGCAGCATGTAATGTAATGTAGTAATTTGCATATTTGTACGGACTGCTTTAAACTCGGCGTTATAGGTCCTTTTATACACTAGAGGTTTGTTTGTTTCTTTATTGCTATTACTATTTATTTTGTCAGTCACACTATAACTTTGGACTTCTTGTATACAATTGCTAGCACATTATCTAAATGCTTGTTTGATTGATTGCTTGATTGAATTGCTGCCATTTGTCTAATTTCCTTTTTATTTTTTATTTTTATTTTTTTAAAGATTTTATTTATTTATTTATTTGACAGAGAGAGAGATAGCGAGAGAGGGAACACAAGCAGGGGGAGTGGGAGAGGGAGAAGCAGGCCTCCTGCGGAGCAGGGAGCCCGATGCGGGGCTCGATCCCAGGACCCTGGGACCATGACCTGAGCCGAAGGCAGACGCTTAATGACTGAGCCACCCAGGCGCCCCCCATTTGTCTAATTTCTTAAGGATCATTTCCCACAACCTCCATTCCACTTTAAAACAGAATTAGAGAATTTAGAGAATAAAACAGCTAGGTCAAAAACTACCCCATGTCATTATGAAATTGCACAACCTCTGGAGAGCAGTTTGACAGTATGCATCAAAAGCTTCAAACAGGGGCGCCTGGGTGGCTCAGTTAAGCATCTGCCTTCAGCTCAGGTCATGATCTCAGGGTCCTGGGATGGAGCCCAGCATCCGGCTCCCTGCTCGGAGGGGAGTCTGCTTCTCCCTCTCCCACTCCCCTTGCTTGTGCTCTCTCTCTCTCCCTCTCTCTGTCAAATAAACAAATTAAATCTTTAAAAAAAAAAAAAGCTTCAAACAAACCAGTTCTTTGCCTAAGGAGTCCAGCAATAGTAGAATGACTAAGTAAATTATAGAATAGCAACCTCATGGAATAGTTATTAAAATAACACATGATAAACAACATAGAAAAAATAGTAAATATTTTTAAATGTAGAGTAAGAAATATAAATATGCTATGAAGTACCTAAAATATGTAAACCAAAAGATAAATAAAACAACACAAGTAAATGAAAACGGCTCTTAGTGTTGGACTCACAAACGAATAATAAATGTACTTACCTAAAAGGGCTCTGAAGATAAATTCACATGAAGTATTTGATACATTGCCAAGCACATGTTACATTTCAACTGTTACCTTGGCTGTCATATTATCATTTATTGAGCATCCACCAGCACTGTAACAAGCCACTTGACAAACATTATTTCATTTGATCCTCATGACAACCATATGAGGTGTTATTATCTCTATTTTACAGATGAGGAAACCGAGAACCAGAAAGGTTAAATGAATTGGAGCATAGTTCGTACATGGTAGAGCTGAGATTTGACCCACTTAT